TAAGCGTGCTTGCACGGGAGTAGTCTTGGGATGGGTGACCCCCTCGGAAGTTTCTCAGGGCGCGTACGAGTGAGGACAAAGTGCGCGTAAAAGGCTAGTGGCGGTTTGTGAGGACAGTACTATTGGTCCGGAGTAACTACCTCGGGTCCCACGGGGCCGAGGTGTTACAAATGGTATCAGAGCAACCTTGCGACAGTGTGTTGATCCGTTGGATATCGGGCGGGCACTTAGCAGGGAAAAGATTCTGGGGTGTGATTGAGATTGGTTTAAGGGCGCAACGAGGACGTTGCGATCCTAAGTGGGGGTGATTGTAACACTTGAGATTTAATATAAACGGATTAATAGTACTACCCATACCAACAAGGTGCATCTCCTTTTAAGGGAGCTCATTAGCCAAGAACTCCAAAGTTAAGCGTGCTTGCACGGGAGTAGTCTTGGGATGGGTGACCCCCTGAGAAGTTTCTCAGGGCGCGTACGAGTGAGGACAAAGTGCGCGTAAAAGGCTAGTGACGGTTTGTGAGGACAGTACTATTGGTCCGGAGTAACTACCTCGGGTCCCACGGGGCCGAGGTGTTACAAATGGTATCAGAGCAACCTTGCGACAGTGTGTTGATCCGTTGGATATCGGGCGGGCACTTAGCAGGGAAAAGATTCTGGGGTGTGATTGAGATTGGTTTAAGGGCGCAACGAGGACGTTGCGATCCTAAGTGGGGGTGATTGTAACACTTGAGATTTAATATAAACGGATTAATAGTACTACCCATATCAACAAGGTGCATCTCCTTTTAAGGGAGCTCATTAGCCAAGAACTCCAAAGTTAAGCGTGCTTGCACGGGAGTAGTCTTGGGATGGGTGACCCCCTGAGAAGTTTCTCAGGGCGCGTACGAGTGAGGACAAAGTGCGCCTAAAAGGCTAGTGGCGGTTTGTGAGGACAGTACTATTGGTCCGGAGTAACTACCTCCGGTCCCACGGGGCCGGGGTGTTACAGAAGAAAGAGGGAGAGGGAGAAAAGGAAGGAGGGGAAGAGGGGGAAGAAGCACTGATGCAGGTGGGCCAACTGCTGTGATTGATGATTGTGGTGATGTTGCCAATGGAAGAGGTGGAAGGGGAAGAGGGGGGAGAGGTAAAGGAAGAGGGGGGAGGGGTACTGGTACAGGAAGAGGGGGAGGACAGAGGGCAAGAACACATAGAGGTTTTGGGGTATATTTTGATGCAAGCACGTGTGAAACCTTGGTGGATGTAAGTTCATAATACAAAGTTTATAAAATTAGAAAGAAGTTTTAAATTTATAATAGCTCACTTTGTTGTTTACCTATTTGCAGCCTGGACAACCAAGTGAAAGAATTCTTGGTGGATGTCCATGAAGTGGTAGAGAAGAGCTGAGATGTTGAAGTTTTTGTGTGGATGCGTGTGAAGATAATAAGGCTACTGTATTTTGGCTTGAAGGCTCTCATGATTGATGGATCGGTGTAGCCCATGTGCTGTTGTACTTTTTCTGCCCTTTAAAGAGGGTCGTTGTGGCTTTTAAATGTGCCCTTTTTGCTTTTTTGTTGTATTTCGGATGTAAGGCAGAATCAAACTTTGGGGGGCCTTTACAGTTGGCTTTATTCCTTTCCATTATGTAATGTATCTGGATGCTTTATTGGGCTTTATTTGACTCATATTAACAGTGTTCTGTTGTATTGTTATTTGTGTTGTAGACAGCTTATTATATAGTTAATTTCAGCACACTTATGGCATCTTTGATGGATCAATGTTAGGCTAGGGTTCTTTATCAGATAAATCGCAGATGGAGAAGAGAGTCGTTGGATGACGAGGACAAAGGTTTTAATTTTTAATTTTTTTAATAAAATGATTTTTTCCGATTAAGTATGCCACGTTAGAAGCCACGTCACCCGGTAACTGGCTGACCGGCTAACGACAGGCTAAAAAACGTATTTGACCGTTATTTGGAAATATGTGAACCCAATTGACCGAAAAAATTGTACATGGACTCAATTAACTTTTCTCCCATAGTAGGTGGACTTATTTGACTGTTTTCCCTATATCTTAATTTCATACAAAGTTTCTTAGGAATATCCTTATGATAATATCAACGTCTTCGGTAATGCCTAATCCTTATGATAATGTCAACAACCTTTATTTGGAAGAGACATAAATTGAACACACGATCTTATCTTTGAGAGATCAGCAAACATGTCATCAGACACAAGGTACTTATTAATTGGCTGGAATATTCTATTGTTTAGCTTCGTGTAATGTTATAGTAGTATAAAACATCAGTGTAATGGATATATATATATACACACACATACTACCTATATTAACAATAGTATGTGTATAATACTTCGTGTAGTATTTGTATTATACTCTTCCCAATCCCTTGGATAATTTTCTGTTTCTCTTTTTTGGATGTCTTTTCTATTTCGATTCAGTTTTTTCGATCAAAACCGGATTATACTCGGCCCTAACGAGTATGCCTTTGTGAAACGGACAAACCGAAATGGATATACGGCTACACCTATTAAGGGTTTATAATAGGAAAGAGACAAAAGAATCGAAGGAGAAAGGTCCAACCATTGTGTCATCAACACCACAATTTTATCTAAACCTTGCTTCACACACATGCATACTATCCATTCATTCCAGGCTAGCGATCTAACTTTCCAAGCTCATCTGGGAATTTAGGAGACTAACAAATTACGGAGTATTAGATAAAGGAATTAGGAAAAAATCACAGAAATATTCATCTTTTAATTAGTTAATATAACTTGATTCCTAACTTATCCACATTTTCGACTTTCATCATATTTTATTTATTAATGTAGTAAACCTATTGTGCGAACAGTATAAAAACATACCAAATTTTTAGAAAGTCAAGTAGGTACAATATCAATACACAGAAACTTCATTATGCCAAAATTTGATGCACCACTTATGGTTATTATTAATAACGAATTTCTGTATACTAAAATTTTGGCATACTAACTAATAATTCGGTATTTTGGTATGCTCATATATCAAAATTCTTGAACTTAACGTTACAATAACAAAGCAATTTTCTATATAGTATAGTTCCATACCCCATAAAAGTTTGGCTATAGTGAAATTTTCAGTATAATTAATAAATTGGGATTTTGGTTCGAGAATTAATTAGATATACAACAACTAGCCGAGAATGAAGTAAAACAAAATATATATGGAGTACACAGATATATTGTTGAATTACAATTAAACAATATATGAAGTTCTTCCCTAGCCGACTAGCCCTATATATCATATGGTTAATGGTTTTAAGTTTTAACTTTTGTTGTTTCTACTTTCAAAGTAAGAATATTATGAACTTGGAAAGTGAGGTTCACGATAACGTCATGTAAAAAATGAGAACTTTGACAAATTCTGTTTTTTTTTTGTTAAACAAGAAAAGGAAACACAAAAAATTGATGAGGCGGTGGATGCTCGAGATGGGTGGCGGATTATATTTAACATATAGATTTTGGGTACGTGTTTATTGTTTTTACAACTAAAGTTTTGAAGAATAATTAATTTTATATATGCATATTTATCAATACCAAAACACAAGTATATATGAAGACATGAAGTCAAAAATACGTACTCAAATAAGTAACTATAATGTATACATGAAGCACAATTAATAATAACTCTAAATTTACACAAGCTCACTTGCACGCTATTCAAAACGTCAAGTATTCATATGAACACCTTTGAACTATATATAGAGGTTTCGTTACTCATCCCTATGCATTAATAAGAAATGACTGATTGTGATGCATTCACCTCATCAACATGTTCTTTACATATATGGAAAGTGTTAACATACTCCATATGTTTTCGGAATTATTTTTTACTTCGTAGTAAACTATATGAAGTCCTTCCCTATCATATGATTTACTTTAATTTTCTCTTTTGAGAATTAGAAGTAAAAGTAGCGATTAGCGAAATCCTTTCCTCAAACTTACAAGCGTAGCCTTCTTAGCTTGACGATGCTCTTTAGCCTCTTCTAATCAATACTATTTCTTCATCTGCTCATTTCTATCTGTTCTACTTTCCTCATACCAACCATGCGGTGATTATTTTTGAGGCATTAAGACAAATTATTTTTTAATTTTTTAATTTAATACAACAATAATGATATAAATAAATTAAAACACACCACCGTACATAAAGAGTTCAAAGTTTCTGAGTAAGAAATTAGATCTACTGAACAACAAGTGAAAATGCTTATATAATTAAATTATACTCCACCTTCGTATTACCAACTTTTATTAAAATCAGACCCTCAGTGTATCATTTGAGTTTATTTGGAGTACTAGTTCATATGTGATGTTCAAAATTTATGATTTGTTCTTAAATTAACTCTTTTCATAAGTATGAAAATGAAATATAAACGGGAAAGTTATACCAACTATCATCATTCAATCATTTAAAATACACACTATATATTATATTCCTTTCGTACCTTTTTATTTAGCCAAACACTGTTTTTCAAGTCAAAGTTGTTCAAATTTGATCGATTATATATTTATACACGGTAAGATTGATATAAAGTATGAAAATTATATGAAAATGTTCTTTGTTAAAGTTGAAATAAAAGTACAACAACAACAACATCCAAGCCTTGGTCCCAAATGATATTGGGGTCGGTTATCGTTGAAATAAAAGTTTGAATTATATATTATCATAAAAGTATAAATTTATTAAATGTTACATAAATATATGAGTTGAAGTAATTAATGTATGAAAGTTATCATCTTTCATTGGAAAACTCAAAGTTGGTTAAATAAAAAGGGACAGAGGTAGTACTCTATTGTCAAACTATTCCGATAGTACAATAATTATTAGGTGTCCACGTGTGATCTAACTGTTTAAGTCTGACCTAGTCTAACACGATCTATATAAGTCTGATCTGGTCTAATATGATCTAATCGGGCCTTTATAGCATGTGATGCGTTTATTGCATGTGATTAAAAGTGGGCTTCCTTTTTCGCTCAAATGAAGGGTCAAAATTGGTTCTCAAAACCACTTAGCCCATGAAATAAATCTAATTGTTTTTATGATAATCGGGTCTGAATATCATTTCAAATCTTCTTCCATATCCGTTGGATTTCCGTCAATCGGGAAAACAATGAGTTCTGCAGGTTCCGGCAGAGGCAAGCCCAAGGCCGTCAAATCCACGTCCCGATCTCACAAGGCTGGCCTACAATTCCCCGTCGGCCGAATCGCGCGTTTTCTCAAAGCCGGGAAGTACGCCGATCGCGTTGGCGCCGGCGCCCCTGTCTATCTCGCCGCCGTTCTCGAGTATTTGGCCGCCGAGGTGAGTGTTTTAATTAATCCCGATCGGTGAATTTTTCCGGTTTCGAATCGTCGAGCTGAGAGTTTCGAATTCTCAATTTCCCGATGGCTGGATACTGAACAGGTACTGGAACTGGCGGGGAATGCGGCGAGGGATAACAAGAAGAACAGGATTGTTCCCCGCCATATTCAGCTGGCGGTGAGGAACGACGAGGAGCTCAGCAAGCTTCTGGGTGACGTCACCATTGCAAACGGCGGCGTTTTGCCCAACATCCATCAACACCTCTTGCCCACCAAGAAAGGGAAGGGCGATGCCTCGCAGGAATTTTAGGTGTTATCAATTTCTTCTTTTCATTCAACTTAAATTTCGAAGCTAGTAGTCTTATAGGACCATCACATTTGCCCCCCAAATCCCAGATGTTTTGGAATATATAACTCTTTTTTCAAATTATAAATAATTATTTGTGGTTTAATAGTATAGGGTATGTGCTGAAAATCATCTACTTATAAGAATAGTACTAATAAAGGATCACTGATTCTACACTAATAAATCATATTTTAAATATTTTACAAATAATCTCAACTCAAGATGGTGTCCACAAAAAATGCCATATAGAACTTCTGTTAGTCCATTGGCTATTCCCCGTCTACCACTCAGCACAATTCTCCTCTTAAGGTGACTTAGTGAATGAGATTTTCATAAATATGCCTTGGTTCTTCTTACCACTGTTTGAGAACATAGAAAATCGAATATAATTTGGATTCGTTGGAATCTTGCGGCCACTGGAATCCCTAGAAGCTTAGTAAACTTCATGATCAGAAAAGGATGAAAACTTGAGGAAGAAAGCAAACTTGCTAAGCTCACAAAAGTCGGTGTGGATCGAGAAAGGCAAGAAAACAAGAGATGACGGAAATAATGTATTAGCTTGACTGCTTGAGTATAAAACATTTATTCGGGTGAATATCATTGCAAATTCAAGATATTTTTATTAATACTCTGAGCAGAGATTATTATTGTAGAATACCTAAAAATATGCATTATTAGTTTGAATTTCGCTAGTGGCGCCATGTACTTTAGACCCAACTTTTAAATTAGATTAGTTGGTCCCTCATATTTCACTTCTTTATTACGTAGTATGTGTTTTCTTCACTAATATTTTTCTGTCTTTTCTTTGTCAAACATGTGCTTACTCCCTTCATTGTGTCGCTATAGGCCATGCCCATTGTCAGAATAGCAGAGGGGAGTCTTGATTAAAATGAGATATGAATACTACTCTTCATTGACTCATTCCCTAGTTCTGGCACCGGTTTTGCTAGATTCAATATTTAAATGTGAAGAGTTTTAGAATAGCTCATAGAAGAATGATTCAGCGGATTAGGCTTGTTTCTTTTACAGACAAAAAGAAATAAAAGCTAAGGGGTAAACATTCCTAAGCTAGAATTTTGGATCTGAATTGGGTATTAGCACAATTGTCTAGGACTAATTCTGATGCTATCTCATGAATAAGTTTTATCAGAGTATCGGGTGAAGAATCAATAATTATATGTAGTATTAATCAATGTCTAAATGAAGAAGCCATGTTAACATGAATTCAATATTACAAGTTTCTGAGTCGTTAATCCCAGAAGGGGACAATTGAGTCTGTTTGGTAGGACTTTAACTGAAGTCTTCTCAAAAGAGAATTGTGTTTGGTGACATCTATTCCAATGAGGAAGCTCTTGTATTTCAGTAGGCCTGACTCGAATTTCAACAATGAACTTTTAGTTTACTGAAATACTTTGTTGCATCTGAGACGGAATCTTTATATATACTAGTGTGGGCGCGCGTTGCGTGACGGGTGGGGCCCAATGATGGGCAGAGTGAGAGTAAGTGTAGGAAAAAAATGGTGCCAATACTTTTACATGAGCATAAAAAAAAAGAGTTTGATGTTGTTTATTACAACATCCTGGACATTCAAAGTTTGAGTTTTTGGGGCAGCAAGTTTTAACAAAACAAAACAGAAAATTGAAAAACAATTGAATAGTCTACAGAAAGAGTTTCCTCATTGGACCCGTTTGGGACAATGTTAGTATTTGTTACCAGAACCCGATTATGGATGGCAACTGAGCTACTTGGGACAATTTTTGGGTTATTCGAAGCTGTATTATTAGATGAGGGATCAGAAAAGGGATCATCATTTTCCGAATCCATGGTTTGACTCAAAGAATCAAACATGTTAAAATTAGGGACCTCACATTCTTTCTGAGCCTCAGAAGCATCATCTGCAGCAAGGGGAATGTAAGATGTAGCTACTGTAACCTCTGGGACAGATTCACCATAAGTAGATATCCTTTTATCGCATGCAGCTTTCTCACAGGCAACATTTTCACAATTAGTAATAGCCTTATAGGGACATGGGCATTTTCACAATCAATAGCAGGGCCGTCTTTTATAAAACTGATCACAATCACAACATTTTCACTATCAGTAACAGGGACAGAAGCATCACAAATAACAAGAGCATTACAGGCAACTTTAGTATTGTAGAAATACTCATAATGAGTCTCAGGTGGAGTCCCCTTAATGAGTGAGTGAATCAGAAATGGCTAAGTTGTTGTTGAAAGTTGGGGCTGCAGACTTTTCCTTTACACACCCGTGTGTGTATTTTTGGCAGCAGTGACCTCTAATCAATTAACAAAATCAATTAACAAAATCAAACTTGTTGTAAAAATTTCAAACAAAATACATATGTCATAGTAGAAGATGGGTTGATTTCCAGGTATAGAGATTAAGATGTTCTATGCCATTGAGCATTATTATCAAATCCAGTATCAAAATCAGATTTCTAGTTATATTGATATGTCCACTAAAACCAAACAAAAAAAGTAAACAGATCATGCGGTGAAAACATTTTGAAAAGAAAACGAACAAAATAGAATAACAAACAACACAGGTTCCCAAAGCACCTCTGTCAAGTTAGGCACCGAAATCTTCAATCCCAACAACAAGGGCATGACAGTATACTACAGTGATATCTATGTCACTGTCAACTACACTGGAATCATTTTAGCAAAGAATTACATCCTAGGCTTGAATCGAACTTTACACAAGAATAATAACGGGTTGTACTTATGAGAGTTGACATACATCAGTTTTCACAGAAGATCAGAGGTGGAAATGCGAGTTTTGTTATTGGCATGGAGACAACAGTTCAGTATAGGATAATGAAATGGAGAACGAAGCATCATAAGATCCATTATGAAGCACATGTACAAAACATAAAAATTAGTCCTCAGCAAATTGGAGAATGGTATGGAGAATGGTACTCTCTCCTTCAACAATAGAAAATCAACTTTATGTAGTTATGAATGTCTACAAGGTAAAATCTTGTATCATATATATTCCATTGAAGTGGATTGCAAACCATGATGTATCTGTGTTTCTTTGATTTCCTTTTGCTTCTCTCTTATAGAACATGTTTTAATGTATATACTTCTGTAGCTTATAACATTGCCGAGTTCATATCCTCCTAAACAATGGTTATCATCGTTTTATGTTAAGATTATTTTTAGAAATTTATTAAACAGATATTTTCAGAACACATTTTTCAAAAATAATTATATTCAGAAGGTATGAAGGCATTTTATGCTCGGTGTCTTACATAAATTGGCCTTCTGGACCAATGGATCCCTACTTTGAGGACCGGCGGTGGGCAGCAACTTGTCTTCGCCACTGATGAACAGGAATTTGTAATAGCAATTCCCAAACAAGTATTAAGATGCCACCGCAAAAATACTTCAATTTTTTAAAGTAAATATGAAACTAATCACAAAAACTGGCTCATTCATATGCTTTAATCCTTACAACAGGGAAGCCACCATAGTCGCCAGACTAATTTATATTCTTCATAACACAACTGTTAGCCGCTAACCTGACCTGTACCTTAAAATAATTATTATGAACCCTAAAGGATAGGTAACAATTACAATAAAGCATCACAGAAATGAATTTCAGAACTCTAATATAGAAACGTAGATCACATTCATTCAGCAGCTGAAGATAATGTTAAATTTGACCATAATTGCCTTTGTAGCAATGCATACATAATCACGAACTGCAGCTCTTCCCCCCATTGTTACATAGCCCCCTATGCTGAAAGAAGATTCTAAAACTCTTAAATTAATGAAAGCAATCAAATTTTGAATAGGTTGATATCAGATTGTATAAATTCAATAATGTCCTTTTTATTTTCTTTATATCATAGCATCTATATGTGTGTTATGTATATAGAGAGAGTGAGAGAGAAAAGAAATGTACGTTGCAGAGCCAGCAATACCAACTTGTCCACAAAGTATGTAGTTTTTCCCGATCACCACATTGTGACCTATTTGCAAACTTGAATACGTTGGGATTCTCAAAGTTAAGAGTGTCAGACAGCGAAACGTGAAGATAAATTTGAGATACCTGAACCAAATTATCTATCTTCAAATGATCTCCAATTACAGCATCCCTCCAACTCCAACTGGACTCCACGTAGGTTAAATGATCAAAATTAATCAGAAAGAAAGGGCACACTTAATTCAATATATGTTAATGAAAACTAATTTTACCTGCCCTTATCAATGCAAGAATTTGCACCAATCTCTACATATATAGTTTCATATCTTCACTTTTAGGTTCTAAAGATGAAATTCAACAAGAGTGTTCATGCCAAAACAACAATAATTAAATGACACTATAATAAATTTGTGATGCATGGCTCAAAATTCAAAAAGGGGAAATATTGCATATTGCAAACAAGGGGAAATATGTATAATCCCTTGAAAACTTCTTCAAATTAAGTTTTGTAATTATGTACTTTTAGATGGCCAGTTAATGAATTTTCAATGTGAACCCAATTGAATGGATAAATATATAAACACATTTATTGTGAAAATGTTTTGAAATCAAGTCAAAAACATAAACATAAACATAAACTCTAAAAGTTGTTACTACGTAGAACGTAACGAACGTGTTTCATATTACAGATTAAATCAAAGTAAAACTCGCCACATAAAGTCAAACTTGATTTTGGATTACCTTCTTTAAAACCATAAACTTGTGTGGGTGGGCGTCTCCAGACTCTAAAGAGATCCATGGGCACTGCTGGGGCAATCATTTCTTCCGAAAACCCTTGATTAGCTAAAAAGTCAAAATTCATTCTCAATTAATTGTAAAATTAATGTGAAAACTGAAAAGTAAAACCACATTCAATAAAAAATGAAACAAGTAAAGTTAGTAAGGAAGAAGATGATGGTGGTCTTAAAAATTGAAATTTTCATCCAAAACTCATTCTGAGTGGAAAAGACAAGCAAACGGCGTGAAATATTTAAGTTGTAGTAATGGTTAATAGGACCAGAATAACTACATTAGAGACTTTATATGGGTAATATGTATAAAGAGATTCTTCTAATTCCTTCTTGTACTTCCACGAATGTGGAGAAGATGCATCTGAAGTTACTTCTTAAAAAAGTTAGTGTAGTTTTGCCAAAAAAAAAAAGCTAGTGTAGTAGGTAAATAAAGAACGGGTTAGGGAAATAATAGGAGTTCCTAAACTCTCACCGAGTAGGGTGTCTAAAAAGAATTGAACATCAATGTGAACATCTTAATAGCTTGACCTTGTATGAGACCTAAAGTCTTGATATCGTAGGAGAGAAAAGCAGTTTTTTTTTGGCTTGTTTGCACCTTTCATTTATTCCTTCTACTGCTTCTTATGCTCTTCTTTCATTTTCTGCAAATTAACAAACATTAACATCACCATTATTAAAACAAACTTTTATTAAGATAGGCTCAACACTAAAAAACCAGTTAAACCAAAAACAATAAATGATTGTTCATAGGAGATGAAAGTGTATTATGAAAACCAGAACTAAAATTTGCTAGATAACATAAAAAAATGCAGCTAATAATAAAAACTTTCATTAAGAAATACAAAGCAAATTATAGAAGCTGTTGGGTTAATGGCCCAAACCGAGGCCCGGCCCATTAACCCCTTTCTACCAGACGCACGACCAGTTAGGACAAGGTTAGCCGCAGGCCCATGTTCTTTGGAAAGGGACGAACATCTTGTGTTGAGGGGTTTCTAGGCTC